CCAGCCCAGGTCGCTAACTATGCCTACACTTAACCCCTCACCTCGTTCAGCAGGTGCTATACTATGCTACACTATAACCCCTTCCACCTCTCCGCAGGGTGCCTATCTATGCTACACTATAACCCCCTCACCTCTCCAGGCAGGCGTGCTATATATTGCTACACTATAACGCTTCACCTTTCCAGCAGGCGTGCTATACTATTTGCTACACTATTACACCCCCTCACTTCAGCAGGTGCTTATACTATGCCTACACTATAAACCCCTCATCGCTCCAGCAGGGTGCTATACTTGCTACACTATAACCCCCTCACCTCCTCCAGCAGGTTCTGCTTATACTATCTTACACTTGAACCCTTCACCTCTCAGCATGGCTGCCTATACGTATGCTACACTATAACCCCTACCTCCCTCCAGCAGGGGCCGCTATACTATGCTACAGTATAGACCCGCCTCACTCTCCAGCAGGGTGCCGTGAATACTATGCTTACACTATAACCCCCTCACCCTTCTCAGCAGCGCGTGCTTATGACTATGCTACACTATAACTCCTCACCTCTCAGCAGGGTGCCTTACTATTGCTACACTATACCCCTCACCTCTCCCAGCTAGGGTGCTATACTATGCTAACTATAACGCCCCTCACCTCTCCAGCAGGCTTGCTATACTATGCTACATATACCCATCCTCTCCAGCAGGCCGCCTATTTACTAGTGCTACACTTAAACCCCTCACTCTCCAAAGCAGGGTGCTATACTATGCTACCTATAACCCCTCACCTCTCCAGCAGGCTTGCTATATAGCTACTGCTAACTATTCAACCCCTCACCTCTACAGAGGTCGCTATACTATGCTACACTATAACCCCTACCTCTCCAGCAGAGGTGCTATAACTAGTACACTTATAACCCCTCACCTCTCTAGCGGCCGCCGTATACTATGCTTCACACTATAAACCCCCTCACCTCTCCAGCCAGGTCGCCTATACTATGCTACACTATAAACCCTGCCACTCTCCAGCAGGGTGCTCATACTATGCTACACTATAACCCCCTCACCTCTCCAGCAGGTCGCTGTTACTTTGCTAACTATAACCCCTCACCTCTCCAGCAGGGTTGCTATTACTATGCCTACACTCATAACCCCCTCACCTCTCAGCGGGTGCTATTCTATGCTACACTATAACCCCTCACCCTCTCCAGCAGGGCTGCTATACTATTGCTACGACTATAGACCCCCTTCACCTTCTCAGCAGGTCGCTATACTATGCTACACTCATAAACCCCCTCACTCTCCAAGCAGGGTGATATACTACTTGCTACACTATAACCCCCTCTAACCTCTCTAGCAGGCCGCTATTACTATGCCCTACACTTATAACCCCTCACCTCTCCAGCAGGTCGCATATAACTATGCCTACACTATAACCCCCTCACCTCTCAGCAGGGTGCTTATACTATGCTACACTATGAACCCCTTAACTCTCAAGCAGGGTTGCTATACTATATTATTTGCGCCCTTATTACCTATAAACCCCTCACCATCTCACAGCAGGGTGCCTATACTATGCTAACACTATAACCCCCTCACCTCTCCAGCAGTCCCCCGCGGTTGCTATACTATGTACACTATACCCACCTCACCTCTCCAGCAGGTCTGCTATACTATGCTACTATAACCTCACCTTCTCAGCAGGTGCTATACTATGCTTACACTATAACCCCCTCACCTCTCCAGCTCAGGGTGCTATACTATGCCTACACTATAACCCCTCACTTCTCCAGCACAGGGTGCTATACTATGCTACACTATACCCCCTCACCTCTCAGCAGGTGCTCTTACTATGCATACACTATAACCCCTCACCTCTCAGCCTGCAGGGTGCTATACTATGCTACACTATAACCCCCTCACTCTCCAGCAGGTGCTATACTATGTACACTATAACCCCCTCACCTCTCCAGCAGGTCCGCTATACTTACTACCCCTGCCAAACCCCCCCCCCAAAAAAAACCACACCTCGCCACCACGCTCACTTACGCACATTCCCTCCATCACACACATCCCCTCTCTCGCTGCAGATCCCCTCGCTCACGCTCGCCCCCTTCCTCTTCACAGATCGCGCGCCTCGCGCTCACCTGGGGGCGCCTCGCGCTGCGGCACGCCGCCGCCGCCGCGACGTTCGACGCCAAGCTGCGGCCGCACCTGAAGAACCTGACGAGCGGCGGCACGATGGGCCTGCACGACGCCAACGTCTCGATCCCGTTCATCTGCCCGCTGCTGCAGCTGCTCGAGACGACCTCTGCCGGCGACCTCATCGACGCCGCCGCCGACTGGGACCTGTCGATGGACGCCGTCGCCGCGCACCTCGCTGGCGGACGCGTCGTCGCTCGGCAGACGCCTGTCTACCGCAGCAACGCGGCGACGTACCTGGGCGGCGGCGGCGGGCAGGTGTATCGCGACGAGCTGCTGCAGGTGTTCCGCAGCGAGATGCACCTGCGGCTGCTGTTCGGCGCGCGCGGCGCCGACGCCGATCGCGCGGTCCGCTACGCTAAGTTCTCGCTGCTGCTCACCGTCATGTCGGACAAGCTGGAGCCCTGAAGGTGGCGCCGCCGCGAGACATGTCGGACAAGCTGGAGCCCTGAAGGTGACGCTGCGAGACATGTCGGACGAGATGGAGCCCTGAAGGTGGCGCTGCGAGACATGTCGGACGAGATGGAGCCCTGAAGGTGGCGCTGCGAGTGCGCGCAGCATATCCGACAAGCTGGAGCCCTGAAGGTGGCGCCGCCGCGAGACATGTCGGACGAGATGGAGCCCTGAAGGTGGCGCCGCGAGACATGTCGGACAAGCTGGAGCCCTGAAGGTGGCGCTGCGAGTGCGCGCAGCATGTCGGACAAGCTGGAGCCCTGAAGGTGGCGCTGCGAGCGCGTGCATGTCGGACAAGCTGGAGCCCTCTAGGTGGCGCTGCAAGCGCGTGCATGTCGGACAAGGTGGAACCCTGTAGGTGTCGCCGCGAACATGGGTGTAGCACAGATTATTGAACGAACCGATTGTGTTCAATATGTGGTGTTTTTCATATTGTATTACAGAATTTTTATCTTACGAGTTAAGCGTTGATTTTGTAATGAATAATCGCACGTTTTTTCGTAGCCGTTTCACAGAAGTGTATTTCAATCCGGCGATCGATGAACGGGGATTTCACGAGTACTTTCTTTTCTGTGCAAGACTTTCGCCTTCTGTTGAAGGAAGCAAGTTTCCCTCATGCGTGGTGACATCACGGCATTTTACGAAATTCTTTCTGTTCGTATTTTGTTATAGACGTTTTAACATGAAGCCGACTGCTGCCGCGGTAACCGCTCACAGCGCCACCTATTGCAGGAAGCGAGCAATTCAATCTCAGAGCGTAGAATACATTGCTTTAGTATTATCGTGATGAATCGACTAGTTAGTGTGTATTGACTCGAGTCATATATATAGACGTGGCCATTTAAAATAATTTCATCAAGACCACTACCAATATTCGCTGAATGAAATAAATTCGTATTTATGATTTTTGTAAGAATTTTTCAAAAAAGCTTAATATATTGTATGATCTATTGTATTGTGTACATAAAATTGTTCACATAAATTCTAATAAGTTGCTCGTTTTGTGATTATTATAATAGAGAAATTTCAAGTCTGTTCGGAACAAAAACGGACCGAATGAGCATGCGCATGTGTAAAAATATCGTCTGGACTCAAACGGTGGGGTTAGACGGTGCTGCCCTCTATGCACGTTTTACATAATTTATTATAAAACAATCGAAATTGCTGCTCTTCTGTTCAAATGCAAGACAATCACATTACACACCGTAAGGTGTTACACTCGACTCCACTGTAGCATGAGAATTTCACATACATAATCCACGAAAAAGACACAAGCAAAAACAGTGTGAACACTCACTTATTATAGGGACACAACAACGTACATTTATTGCAAGTGGTAAAATACAGCTGGTGCCACCTGTAGTCGTCTTCGGAAACTAAGACGAGCCGTGGACGGTGGCAGACATGGCGATTGATATCAACTAGCCGGCCACAATGCAACGAAGAGAGAGAGCGCGCGCGCGAGAGCGACAAGGCGCGAGAGACGACGCGAGAAGATGGAAGAAGAAGACAGGAAGCCACAGCCCAGCATGCAAGCTTCATGCACGCAGGCACCACAGCTTTACCAGCTCACAATTACCTACTCGTTCCGCTCCGCCTCACCCCCACCGCTGCTACAGATGACCGACAACTCGCAGCACTTACAAAGCAGATTTTAGCGTAAAACGCGCCCATAATAATCGAACCAAAGACTCACGACGCCCTCTCGCGGCAGCATCCAACATCACGACTTCGTCGTGAGTTGCCGTCGACGCGACGTCGTGACCTTTATTCAGTGGTGACCTCACCGACTTCGTTCGTTGACCTTGTGAGGCGACCTAGTGACGTCACGCGCACTCGCCTTCCACCTTCACACGTCCACCTGCGCGTGTGAACTCTTAACGCGCACACGATAGTAAAGAGATATATATATATTTATACAACATGACAAGGGAAGAGGGGGGGGGGGGTTACTAGCAACCAAGTTCATAAGAATCATACGATGAGTTAACACACGACCGGTGTTCACGTCAAAGGAATTAGTACGCAGCGAGCGAAAGTTTCTACAGAATTACGTTCGAACCACGACGACCGTACCACGCCCTTCACAGAAGGAATCGCGGCAACTTTAGTGGATTATCGGAATTCGCCTCGTGCGCTCGAACATTCGATCCCGAATCGCACGCACCGACGATATTGTCAATTCACATCCAACCAGCGTTAGGGAAAATAAGATGGCAGAGTAGATATCCAGCGAGCGAGCCACGGTTGGGTATACGTGCGTACTCACGCGCACGCACACGGCTAGACATACACACACACACACATATATAATTATTTATATATAACACGTTAAATTTTATACAACTTCGTCCCTATCTTACACAGGATAATTGCAAAAGGAAACCTACGCGCACCCTAACGTATGATACACTCGGCTGCGTGACGTCTCGCCCAGTCTCTCTGTCTCAGAATCATCAATCTGCATGTCTCGTCTCGGTGCCTCGGGTTCTCAGCTGTGACTGTAGCTGTGACTGTGACTGTGACTTGGGAGCGGTGTCTGTGTGACGCGTGGCACTAGCTCACTCGCTCACTCACTCACACACGCACGCACACATGCACTCACTCACTCACGCACTTACTCACTCAAACACTCACTCACTCACGCACGCACTTACTCACTCACTCACCCACTCACTCACTCACTCACTCACTCGCTCACTCACTCGCTAACTCTCTCACTGACTCACGAGTGACCCACTCACTCACAACAGCCAGCATGATACAGTATTGCTGTAACCATCCAACCACAGCTGGGTGGACACTGTGAAGCTGCTACAACTTCCAGTTGCCGATTTCCCCATTGCCCAGTACTGATACTGCCTACCCACCAAAACACTGGGTCCACTGCTGCATCAACATACAGAGAGACCCCGAGGCACCGAAGCACGTAGGATTAACACATGAGCAAGTACGTAAATTAAAATCGTTAAAAATCTTTAGAAATCTTAATAGGAGCTCTCTCTCTCTCTCTCTCTCTCTCTCTTTCAATCTCGTCCTCACTTTGCATCTTAATAAGTTAAGATACACGACAATAAGTTAAATGACTTACACACGGCTCACTGTGTCCGCATGTGTGCAAACAGGTATCCGTCCGCGTCATCAACCCACCCCTCTAAAAGTCTGCGACGTGACATTTGGCATTGCGGTACACGGAATGGTTGCTTGGCAACCGGGTAATAACAACAAAATTTACGTCGAGTTAACACTAGCTGTCTGACACCGAGGGCGCGTATAAAACACGGGTCTGGCTCCCGGAAGACGACGCAGTCAGCTCGATCCACTCTGCCGCGTAAAACTGCCACCTTCGTCCGCGAGACGGTCGCCAGGCGGTACAACCGGACGACGCTCCCCCTCGAGCTGACTCCGGAGACGACACCCCCTCCCTCCCCCGGCCACCCACCCCCCGGTTACGGTCGACGATCAACACCTAAGAGTTTTTCGTATGTACAAGAATCGCGCGCGGCCGCCCGTGCTCGCCAGGGGGCGCTAGGGATTGTTGAGCTCGATCTCGATGTAGGAGGACGGCACAAAGCCCTCCTCGCCGTTGAGCTTGCGTACGCGCGTCCAGCCGTCGCCCTGGTCCTTCTCGATGACGTGAAACTCCTCGCTCTCCTCCATCGGCACCGAGCCCTCGTTCGACGCTGCAAGACGAGAGGGGAGAAGAGAGATGTAGCGGTGTGAAGGTAGGCGAGCGTAACGTGCGGGGCAGGCGGAAGGGGGAGAGATGATGTGTAGACTACGCGCTATTGTACGGGAGAGTTATAGGGAGAGAGGGAGAGCGAGAGAGGAAGAGAGAGAGATAGAAAGAGGAAGAGCGAAGACGAGTACCCGACGAGAAGCATAGAGACAGATAGCATAAGTATGGAAACGTTAGATGCAGTGACGACTGTAGAGAAGATAAGCCTGAGAGAGAGAGATGACTAGATGACGAGACAGGAGAGAGATAGGATGAAGATATGATAGATAGATTAATTAGATTAATCGATACATTAGATGATAAAAGAAAGAGATGAGAGAGCGAGAGCAGAGACACGGAGCGATCCCCGAGAGAGGAGCATGATGAAGACCGATGTAGAGAGAGAGAGAGAGAGAGAGAGCACGCGCGCGAGAGAGAGAGAACAAAATGAGAAAAAAAGATATCAAAAAATGAACCATATGCATTGAATGAAGAACACAATACAGACTCACGCCTGTCATGCACGCTAAATATAAAGACTCTGATTAATAGCATTCTAACACTCAACGTTAAGTTATATCGACGTGAAATAAATGTTTGCTAATGGTGAAATGAATCATCCTAAACTTCAGCCGATGTTTCGTGTGGAATTAACGCAGTCACTGCTTCGTGACGGAATATAAACACACAACTCATGCAACGCAACGGTGCCTAGCAGTAACATTATCAATGCTAAGGATGCATGCCTTAAAAACATGTAACACGAATCAACTACACGTGAGTGAATTTGCAAACGAATTGGTATTAGGAATGATTTTTCCAATGCTGGCAACTGTTACTAAGTTATACACATGCAAACGCGCACGCGCACGCACACACACACGCACGCACGCACGCGCGCGCCCACGCACACGCATACGCACACGCACACACACAGACACGCACACGCACACACACGCACGCACGCACGCACGCACGCACGCACGCACACACACACACACACACTTGTTACACTTGGCACTCCGTGGATGCGTTACCGTCTTCACAGACAGAACAGGCGAATTTCATGCAAAATCAACCTGAACACTGTCTTCTCACGACATCCACGCATCTAGCAGTGCCAACAACTCTAACAACAGTTACGCATGCGGAGGGGGGGGGGCAGTGCCACAACGAATGCTAACACTGCAGCGCATTCAACGTGCAATGCGCACTCTGCTCTCCCTGATGCTTCAACAAACAACAACAAACAACAACAACAACAACAAAACAACGACAACAGCGACAACAACACCGAGTTAACTGCGTAAAAAACGGTGCCGAATGTGTAGTATATAAAGTATGTGCGCCACTCGTCACAACACGTGTGCGTGTGTGTGTGATAATCATCATACCTGCCGATTCCTCTGCATGCCGATAGGTGAACGGAAAGGAAAACAAGAGTCAGTAAAACACGTCAGCGTCGCCATAACTACCGCGTCTGCGCTCAAGCGCAGCAACCATCAAAACGCTGGCGAATTTTTCTTTTTAAAATGGGGGCGAAACTCGGCGAAAAAAAATCGACGCATTTTTATTTTTGGCGCGAAACATCGTCTATCGCGATCAACAGACTGTATGGTCACCGCGAAACACTGCAAGGTTAACATTACAGACTGTATGGTTACCGTTACACACAGCACTGGTTACAGACTGCATGGTCTCCGCGACACACTGCAAGGGTTAACATTACAGACTGTATAGTTACTGTTACACACAGCACTGTTAACGTTACAGCCTGTAACGCTCACAGACTAAAGGTCAGAAACTACGGCGATGTCAGTGTGTGAATGTGACAGCTACGCGTGCACTGCTGCTACGACAGACGGTACTGTTACACGGGGAAGATTTGTACACGGTTATTGACACGACTACGTACATACCGCAGTGTTACTGTCACGCTTACTGTCATGTTATCAGGAGTTAATAAAGACAAATTATGTTGTCTTTATTAACTCCTGATGTTATCAGGAGCTAATAATGAGAAATTTGTCATTATTAGCTTCTCATGTTATGTTTACAGACACAGCACCGTCAATATCACTATCACAGACGGCTGCTGCTGCTGATGCTGCTACAGACGACGCATATCGCGGCCCGTAGCTAACTAAATTCACCCAGGGGGAGAGAGAGAGCCACGCGCAGTCTGTGTTGTGGGAAGCTGACCGTGCACAGTTCGCGATTGACCATGTAATAGCATCTGTATTTGTGTGTGTGTGGGGGGGGGACTCCTCCCTTGCCCGCCCTCCTCCCTCAGCTAGCTACGGCTCTGACATCTCACGAGGCAGCGATCACAATCTCACGCGCATCATCGGTGCATCTCGCAACAACATCATCGGACGCACTGCAACCCGCATGCTCCTCACGCACGCTCACGCGCGATCACGCACGCTCACGCTCGTTCACGCACACTCACGCTCGTTCACGCACACTCACACACGCTCACGCGCGATCACGCACGTTCACGCTCGTTCACGCACACTCACGCCCGCTCACGTACGCACGCTCACGCGCGATCACGCTCACGCTCGCTCACTCTCGCTCACGCACGCTCACTCTCACGCACGCTCACGCTCGCTCATGCACACTCCCTCACACATGCTCACATGCGCTCACGCTCGAACTCACCATCGAAGTGATATAGGGCCTTGGCGACACCGAGCACGGGGAAGGTCTGATAGTAGTCGTCCTCAAACTCTCCCTGGTCGAAGTCGGAGTTGGTTCCACCCGTCGTGTCGATGCCGCTCTCTGGACTAACAGAAGACCTAGACGTCAGACAACATGCTGATTGTACGGCCCCGGGGAGCACGCGCGCACGCACACGAACGCACGCGCACTCACGCACGCACGCGCGCACACACTCGCACACACGAACGCACGCGCACTCACGCGCGTACACGCGCATGCACACACACGCACACGAACGCACGCGCACTCACGCGCGTACACACGAACGCACGCGCACGCGCACACCGGCTGTCTGCTATACACACACGCACCTACGTTTGACGTTACCGTCGAATGCAAACACGACTCATAAGAAATAGCATAACAAGAATACATACAAAAACATCAAGAATTGCGCCAATACCAGCAAAATACATTCACGCTTCAACATTTCAGACCTAACAGATCTAAAAGCCACATCGGACATCGGCAACTCATCGTAAGCAAGCAAACTACTTATGACAATGCGAGGGGGTGAGCGGGTGTAGGGTAGTAGGTAGTATAGAGGCGTATTATCAACACGTGTGTGAAGGGGAGGCTTGTTGCGAAACCTACAAAGCACAACTCATCTTCTCCGCCAGCTAAAAGCATGTGCATAACATCAAGAGCTAATAATACCTGTAGGTAATTATAGCTGTAGTAATAGGTATTATTAGCTCTTGATAACATCGCTAGGTCGGAAAATAATCCTCTTATTAAAAAATCTCGCAAATTTCAGGCATCGCTAGATCATCGTGCTGATTAAGTGATCACCCGCACCGCAACATTTGCACATGTACGCCGAGTTGATTGATCGTAGCACCAGCACACGCATGCACGCACGCACGCACGCACCCACGCACGCACGCACGCACGCACGCACGCGCGCACACACACAGGTGCGACTGTGCGACACACGGCTACAAGCGACAGCGACGGCACTAACAGTACTTCACAGTTACCTGTAGTAACATCTAGAGTGAGACCTGCAAGCAAGTTCACAGTCGGTCAGTCGGACGGCTGACCCACCCCTAACACAAGCTTCATGTTGACCAAGTATAAGAGCCACTATTATGTATTGTATGGAGATGTATGGCACAGGGAGCATAGGAGAGCCACAGGGTGAGCAGGTACTAGGGAGGAATGAGGGGGGCATTATTAGAGACAAGCGTAGGAGAGGGTTAGCTTGAGTCAGTACTAAGGAGAAGGGTTAGGGTAGGCATTATAATTAGAGACACACGTAGCATGAGGCAGTAGTAGGGAGTGGGGATAGGGCGAGTCAGTATTAGGAAGAAGGGTAAATGGAGGTATTATTAGCGACAAGCGTAGGATAAGACAGTAGTAGGGGCAGTAGAGACAACAGAGTGGGTACACACGCACACACGTACACGCTCGCACGCACGCACGCACGCACGCATGCACACACGCACACACATCCACAGCAGGCTATAGTAATAGTAGTAGCCTGTAACAGTCGTAGTAGTAGGTGGGTTTAGTACTTAGTCGTGCTGCGTGTTTGCACGCACGCACGCACGCACGCACGTCCGCACGCACGCACGCACGCACGCACGCACGCACGCACGCACACACACAGCAACCAGTAGTAGTAGTACCAGCAACCAGTAGTAGTAGTACCAGCAGCCGTAATAAGTGTGTAGTACTTACTCGTGCTGCGTGTTCTGCGGGCTCTGCAGCATGTGGCTGTTGCGCGCGCTGCCTCCCCCTCCCACCTGCAGGTCGGACGAGCTGCGCGACATGTTGTCTGTCGGGAAGCTGTTGCGACTTCGCTTCATCGTGTTCGGCGTCAGCTTGTTCTCAGCCTCGTCCAAGTACGACTGCAACGACGAGGACGATGATGAGTGATAACGATGATGATGATGATGATGATGTGAGTGATAATGACGAGGATGATGATGATGATGATGATGATGAGAGCTATAATGATGATGATGAAGATGATGATGAAAGCTATAACGATGATGATGGTGATGATGATGATGAGAGCGATAACGACAAGAATGATGATGAGGATGATGACAGTGATAACGATGATGACAGCAATAACGACGACGACGACAACGGTGATGATGACGCCGACGATGATGAGAGCGATAACTATGATGATGCGCTCAGCGGTGCCGCGAGGCAGGCAGACGGGTGCGCGTGCGTACCTGGAATTTCTGCTGCTCTAGCCGCAGCTTGTCCAGCTTGTCTCCGTTCTCGTTCAGCTGCTTGTCGAGGCTGTTCGGGTCGCCTAGCGCCGGATTCTCCTCATACACAGCCTTCATCTTCTGCAGCGCGTCCCTGCAGACGACAAGAACGATGTAGCCATGACAACGAGCACGTGCTGCCATCTAGTGGTGACATCACGAACTACTAGCTAGGGAGGATTTAGCATGTCAGCAAAAGGGTGGGCATGTTTCCATGAACCGTGGAAAGTATGGTCGTGACGTCAGTGTGACGTCAGTGGCTATCTACCACCATAGACCAATCACGCACGCACATCCATGTATGCATGGAACATCCATAATATATTATTCTAATTACGCTGAATAGCCGAGCTCGTGTGCCGGCGGGTGTTACGTATGAGTCTTTGGTTCGAATCCCATGTTTAATTTTTTTTATTTTTCTATTTTTCTATCTTTATCCATTTAACTATTTTTTCCCAATTAACGCAAATATTTACATGATTTATTTACAATTTTTTATTACTTTTTTTTAAATTTAATTAAATTTATTAGTGTTAATTAAATTTAATTAGGGTTAGGGTTAGAGTTAGGGAGTAGGGCGTAGCATGCAACCACCAGCACCATCAGCAGGCTGTATGCATTCAACTTCGGAGCCGAGTTCGTGCATGACGTCAGTGTGCGTCACAACCATACTTTGGTTCATAGAAACATATGCCGACCCAGCAAGACTGCACGTGCTGCCATCTAGCGGTGATATTATAAATCACTAGCTAGCAGTGACTTTGTTGTTGTTGCTGCTGCTGCTGGTACTACTACTGCTACTGTTGCTGCTGCTGCCTCTGCTACTGCTACCACTACCACTGCTACATTTACTGCTGTTGTTGTTGCTACCACTACCCCTGCTACTTTTACTGCTGCTGCTGCTGCCTCTGCTGTTACTGTTGTTACCTGGCAGCCGTCTCCTGGTTGATATGCGTTTGGATGCCCTCCAGCTTGGCAAGCAGCTTCTTGCGGCGCTGACTCGGCGGCAGGTCACTGTAGTCCTCCTTCATTTCATCAGGCTGAAGCGGGAGCAAGCGCAGACGACAATCAGCATCACGCGACACTGCGCTGGTGACAGTTAGAATCGCGTGACACCACGCAGGTGACAGTGAGCATCGCGTGACACCGCCGCGCAGACGACAGTCAGAATCGCGTGACAACGCGTAACATGTGACACCGTGCAGATGACAGTCAGAATTGCGTGACATGTGACACCGCGCAGATGACAGTCAGAATCGCGTGACATGTGACACCGCGCAGATGACAGTCAGAATCGCGTGACATGTGACACCACACAGATGACAGTCAGAATCGCGTGACATGTGACACCGCACAGGCGATTGAGAGAGCACCGTGTGGCAAACTGACAATGCACAGACACTGGTCAGCATTGCGTGACACTGCGTAGATGACAGTCAGTACCTCGTGACAACATGTGACACTGCATAGATGACAGTCAGTACTCTGTGACAACGCGTGACACCGCGCAGACACCAGTCACTACCGCGTGGGAGTATCAAACCCAAAATATTAATTAATCCCAATTAAAAATCACGCTCGTGTCGAATTGTAATGATTCTAAATCACTCGCGTCACGATTTTACCGCCAAACGAAAACTTTAACGCTTAGCGACGTCGCACACGCCAGAACACGATCGCGACACAGTTCGCCACGCGAGGGCGCCGCAGTCACACGGCGCCATTCTCCGACTGTGACCATGCTCCAGAGGGAGGGGAACTCATGCGGGGGAGGTGGTAGGGGTGACAACCATGCGTGGGGCGGGGTGGGGCGGGGCGGGGTTGCGTGCGACCAGCCTCGTCATGCCCCCGCCCCCCACGAGCATGCATGCATGCTCAACATGCTTGAAATAAAACCTCGGAGAGGGGGGGTTTAACGTTCCCTCCGAAACAACAACAAAAAACAGAAACTCCGCAGCGGCAAAAATATTAAAACATGCGAAAAACATATTACTCGACTGCCTCATCCTACCCTCCCCCCGCCCCCCACCCCCGCACGTACCCGATTCCCGTCGTCGCGCGAGAAGCAGACGCGACGGGACATTCGCAAAAACACAAACCAGGGGGCGCTTGCTTCCCGCGCGATCGCAAGCCATTACGAGCCGCCGTGGTCGTGTCGACGCTTTAAGGCGTGCCCAGCAGTGGCGCCCCCTGCATTTTGTTAAGATGAGCTGGCGTTACTCGGAACGCATGTGGCGGTGACGATTTTCCGGGCGGGCAGGAAACGGTTGAACGAGGGGAATTTTTTTAGCAGTGCACCACTGACACGTGATACGCACGCACACACGCACGCACGCACACACGCACGCACGCACACAATCACCACATACCACTGTTAGCTCACACCAAGCCTCTCCTAGAGTCTTGCCAGCTTCACCCCACCTGCCAACCTCTAACGATCATGCATCCCCCTTCTGCCAGCCCTTAATCACCAGCTAGCACTTTCCGCGGATGCGCGCACAGAGCAACGGGTCATGACCATGCATCGACCAACCTCTACAGCACCCTCCAGACTAGCTCTAGAACTATAGCCCTTCGCTCTGCCACAGGCCACAGGCCACAGCGAAGGGCTATAGTTCTAGATCTAGCTCCAGAAGAACACATCCAGCATCAGCAGTATCAACACTTGATAACGTGTACCAGCGCATTCTCGCTAGCATACGACGACGATGCGTTGCCATGCCACCCGTTGCTCTGCGGGCATCCGTACACACTTGCGTAGCAGCAGTGCGTAGCAGTGTTGCGACTCGATACTAGTGTTACGACGCACGACAGCAGCCATGTTAGTATCCCCCAGCGAGCGGCAAACTCGCTCCACACCTCCCACCTCCGACCGTTGTACAGGGTTACTGCAGCATCCCACCATTAAATAGGGGTAGGGTGAAGCGTGAAGTGAACGAAGTGAATGAGCGTGGCCAAAGTGAATGAGCGTGACCAAAGTGAATGTGTGTGAACGAAGTGAATGAGCGTGAACGAAGTGAATGAGCATGAATGAAGTGAATGACTGTGACTATAGAATGAGAGTGATTAGGCGTCTCCAGTCATGAGAAGGTCGGTGTTATTTGAGGATGAAGAGTATGAGCCTCACATGAACACTCTACCTAGACCGCCACCCTCCCAAGTAATATACGAGTACGAATGAAAATGTAATACTCACGATGCTGGAACAAGGGAACAAACAGTCGCCTGCGCAAGTCAGCAAAACCAACTTTACATAACTAACGGCAGATATAAAAATGCTTGCAGCGCCACCATGCGATGCAAGGCCGCTTGCAGCGCCACCATGCGTTGCACGGCCGCTTGCAGCGCCACCACGCGACACAGGGCCGCTTGCAGCGCCACCACGCAACACAGGGCAGCTTGCAGCGCCACCATGCGACGCACGGCCGCTTGCAGCGCCACCATGCGACGCACGGCCGCTTGCAGCGCCACCATGCGACGCACGGTCGCTTGCGGCGCCACCATACGACGCACGGTCGCTTGCAGTGCCACCATGCAATACACGGCTTTTTGCAGCGCCACCATGCAAAGCAAAATTTCTAAAATCATATGAATACAACTGTCATGCACTAAATGTAAAGCAGTAGTTTGCTGAATGAGGTCCGCATGTCAGTTCAGAGTAAGGATCAACGTGAGCTGTACGATGTGTATTGCAAGACTGTCGCCCGACTCTCTCGAAAGATGATGATGAAAGATTTTGTATGACGAGAAATTTATTTCAGAAGAACCGCTTCATGTAGCTATTCTAATTGCTTCAAAATTTCCATCAAAAATTTCGTCATTTCGTGGAAAACTAAACTTTAATATGAACCAGACAATGAGTAAAGTTCTCGCAAACACAGCATCAAAAGTGAATCATATCAAGTGAACAAAATGATATTAAACTATGGCCACCGTAGAACTCGAAAATTTCGAAACTATATTAAAAACGGTCATACGTTTTTCATATCTAACTTTAAACCATTTCACATGAAATGCACATTTGGCAGATGGTAATTAGAGTGGATATCTGGGCTATGCAGCAACACATGCATGGTCAACGTTTCTACGAATATTCTAGTTATCATCTATGCTGCAAGGTTGAACAAACTACACTTCCGTGACTAAAAACTTCAATAATTTTTGGATGCCATCACTAAATACGTACGTGTGAGTACACATACTGCTACGTGTATATGTATATATATATATATATATATATATATATATATATATATGTACACGTAAACGTGCGCATGCGTCACATATTTATTATGTCATTTATTACATGGTCATACAAATCATTAGGCCGACCTAGCGTATCCCATCACCAAGCTCTCATACATCGTACGCAGATGACCGACGACAGACAGGCAAGCTACACGCCGCCCCAGCTAGAAACAAAACATGCATGCTGAAAACTCAAAAATAATGACAAAATCATAATCAGGCTCTCGGTGACTGATAGCAGCGGATATCTGACGCTAATCTACGGTGACATCTACGCGTGCTATCATGAACTAAAAATAATGTCAACAGGTAAAACTAGCTAGCAGATTACGTGGGCCTATTACTACTACTATTACACGGTGACTACAGTAAATTCTACGCCACTTCCCCTCCCTCATTCCACACCACCTACGTACCAGTGATGCCCGCAAGAATTTGGTTGATTTAGCAACATGTATAACAAGGTATTCTAAAATACTTCCATTGTGCAAACTATACATAACATTACTACTATAATACCCTGTTTCTAAACCAACCAAATGCTTCTGAGGATCCCTACTACACCTAACTTCTCTATCTCCCATGGCAATGTCGCCTCCCTCTCATGCTCCCTCCTTCCTGCCCTCTCATGCTCCCTCCTTCTTACCCTCTCTCACCCCTCCTTCCTACCCTCTCCTGCTCCCTCCTTCTTACCCTCTCTCACCCCTCCTTACTGCCCTCTCCCACCCCTCCTCTGTACCCTCTCCTGTCCCATCCTTCTTACCCTCTCTCGTCCCTTTCTTCCTGCATTCTCCTGCTGCACCATTGACAGACTAAAGCGACAGAGTGCGACACAACAGTGACGGGACGACGACACACGAGTGTGAAGCTAGACGCTACTTATATATACGGTGCGCTGGCAGCGCACGCACGACACCAGGGGGCGCCGGATGCGGCGGCGACGCGTGCAGCCATACCCAGAAGGAGAAGCGAAAACTCGATCGATGTTTCGGGTGATCGCAGTTCAACCGGTCTCGGGGAAGGGGCTCTGTGACGGCGGACAGAGAGCGAGCGAGAGAAAGAAAGAAGACACACGACTCAGCGTTAGTTACTGCCACACGTTAATGTTGGGAGCGCACGCGCGGAGCAGCCAATCGTGCGCGGGCGCTCGCGGGCCGCAGCGAGTCCGCACAAACAAGAGAACGCGTCTCGCGAAGGCTTCCAGTAATCGACGCGAAATTTGGGCGGGTGCTTGTCTGACTGTGCTGCCACCTATGATCGCGACGTGGCGCTGGAATGAAACCATCATTCGACTCGCCACCGGTAAATAAAATTATTCTGCCAGTCGCGCTAGCTTACTAGAGCAGCTAGGTCGCCCGCTGTTCAAGCCTCACTAGCAGTGCCATCTACGGTAAATATATGACAACTACATAGATGTGGCGATCCAAACTCCACGACAGATAGCGCTCTCGCTCATGGGCTCAATCTACCACTGCCACAAACAGATTTCGGTTACAATTTGTAACGCTTTTTTACTACAAGTTTTACAGCAGGCACGTTACTCGTATCCTATGTAATAAGATTTGGACTAATAAAAGTTGCAAAGATATTAAAAATCCGACCATTATTTTATGAGAAATTTGATAAAATAGTGATACGAAATAATGCGCCCAATTGACTACTTTCAAATCATTACGCTGTTTACTAAACTAAGTTCACGTGTTTATTTAATATTTATCATGAATTTTTCGGATGCTTGCCAATATACCTAATTCTCGAACATTGTCTTTGATGCATTTTTGCGTATTCAGCTTAAAACATCTAAATTTGTCCACCAACAAACATGCAAATCATAGAAATTTCTAATGTTTTGTTCGGCGGCGACTTCGCGGCCGTTGGATTGCCATTTGCTGGATTTCCCCGGAGCTCCGCCCACTTGAAAAATAGTGCTTGCATTGTGGCAGTGGTATCTTGAGTGTGCGAAGGGGGGCGCTGCATGCAGTTTGGTGGCGATCCCCGCTGTTGGCAATGCGCGGTGGCGCCCCTTGCCAGCAATGGTCTCGCCACGTCGCGTGCAAACACTCGCTGCTCGTTCAACCTAAAACGTATCCACTACAAATGTGTGCAACACCTATGTCCACATGTCCGAAATCAAAAAGAAAACATTTGGGCCCGTACCGCAATAATGTAGTTGTACTGACCGATAACTAATAATCGAGTGGTGACACCGATAACACCTGAAAGGCTAGTCTCAGTTCTTAGGGTACCTACAGACTATAGCATACTGCAATACTTGCTACACTATATAGTGGTTTCAGACTATGACCCAACACTCACAGGGAATGGAGATCTATAGAAACTAAATGTATTGCCAGTTTGTGGTTGACACGTGCTTCGTCGCTAGGGACTGCTATGCAATTATACAGTTTCAATTTCAGAGTTTGAAGTGCCGTATATCGGCAGACGCAATAGCATTTCTTTCGCGATCTATTCATTTACATATGCAATATGTTGCAACAATGACAATAACAATAACACGTACTTGAACAAGATACGTTCGAATACACCTATTCAGTGCTTTAAGAGCAAGTTCAGGGCTGAAAGAGACACCAACATTTTCGATTCTGCCGATATTGGTAGATACGATTGCCCATAATGAAGATCAACTTTAATTGGATTTAGGAGTTGCACATTTTTAATAGCGATGCATTTTTGGCTTCGTCTAACACGCGCGCGCGCACAGGGGGGTGGGGGGAAATAAACCACGAAGCAAACACGACAACGCGAACGACAACACGCAGTTAGCTACGGCAAACGACACGCGCAAACTCCCGCCGACGTGCGGTGGCGCCCTCTAGCGGGGCTGATTAGTCGACGACCATGCGACCTCGCGGCGCAAACATGCGGCACACGCACACACGCACGCACGCACGCGCGAAATCAACGAACGCGGCATGCCAAGTAGAACTACGCCGAAACGCCGGCGCGTCGGGTACTTACGGAAACCACCACCAGGCGGACATCACGTTCCGGAGAGAGAGACGCGGCGGCAGCAGGAGGAAGAGAAAAACAAAGCGAGCACAGGTGAGCACGGGCGCGTGGCAACAGGTGAGTGAGTTGGAATCACGCGCTCGAAAGTCGAGAAAGTCGCCAGTCAAAAATGAGAGAAATGCACGAAGGCGAAATGTCGGAGCGACTAATTAGGTGTTGGTGAATCACTAATCAACAGGTTAATTAACCGATGCGAAAACGCGGCGACGCCATTAACGGGGAAGCGACCGCGGGGACACGGGCGCCCCGGGGAGGATCACCGAAGCCACGCTCGCTGCGATGCGAGCGGGAGGATGCTGCGCTTGGTAGAAGATGCTGGGGTGAAGACCTCTCGTCGTCGCCGCTGTTGTCACAGCCTTGCAGGTCGTCCAGCTATATGCCCCAAAGATGGAATCTAACTACCAACACAACTACAACACTAAACTAAACTACAAGCAACATTGGCTGGTTTTTCATTAGTAGCATCCGAGGGAACGGAGTACCTGCCTATATGCGTTCTATCCTCCTCCCACGCTATACCAGAGGCAACCCTAATTAGTATTATTACCCAGTCTGTGCAGTGTGTGAGCTAATTAGCGGTTAGCCAAGTCGCGAAGATGCATTTGAAATGCAAATAGAATGCGTAACGTACGCATAAACTATGACGTCGAGAATAACTAAATTGCTATTCATGGCGACTGATAACATATTTAAAACTATATACACAGCACATAGATGGTGTTTAATCGTGACCTCTGCACTTGCTGAAATGATTATCAAACTAGATCCTGCTATCTCTCTCTCTCTCTCTC